AATTTTTCTACAGTAAATCAATTCTCATTATTAACCTCACATTTTTCAAAAAAATAATATATTCCATCACATCAATAATTTTTTCTTCTTTTTCAACCACACATTTCCCATCTTATCACTATTCAAAATCAATTTTTCCCCCAAAAAGCTCTCCCAAACAAGCTATAAGTTAAAATATAATTGATTTCAAGGAATTCCATTTTAGATTAGTTTCGAATCAAGTTGTTGTTGAAAGAAATAAGAGCCTGTTTGGTCCATATTAAAATGAGAGAATGCATTTTTTTGAAGTAATGTGATGAGGAATATGTGGTTGAAAATGAAGGAAAAATTATTGATACGATGTAAAATATTATTTCATTGAAGAATGTGTGGTTGAAAATGAATATAAGAATGGGAATGGAAAAAATAATGTGGGTCAAACAGAGGCTAAATATGTGTTTGAACCACATTATTTTGAAATAATGTATTTTGCAGTAGTACATTGATGGAGAATATGTGGTTAAAAAAGAAGGAAAAATTATTGAATAATTGTGGTTAAAAATATTATTTTATTGAAAAATTGTAATTAAAAATGAGTAAGAGAATAAAAATAAGAATTTTAACGTGACTCAAACATTGGCTAAATATTGCTCTAATCATTTCGCCATTATTTGATGCACAATTTTTTGTTATTTGTAGATAATTTCTGAACTTTGGAATAGTCACCATACTGACAAAAACTGTGTACCTTTTTTGAATTCAGGGATACATATTCTCCATTCTACCCTTGTACAAAATCTAACTAATCACTTTGAAAATAAGGAAGAAGGGCAAAGTTGTAATTGCGCATATTTTTCTTGTAACGACTATATTTTCAATTTTAATTGGATTTTAATCGATACCCAACAAGCTCTAAGGCCCTCACGTGATTTGACACGGAAATGCATTATTTATAGGAAAAAATGTGCGGTCGGAATCAAATTTTGGCCTTTAGTTGTGTGATAGTGACTTAGACCGATGAGATCGATACGAGGGTGACAATGATAGCCTACAGTCTAGACTTTGGACTTATGATATCTAATCATCATTCTTATTGGACAATCCGCTCGGGATGACGCTGCTATTAATAGGACAAATTACATCGACGGTAAAGATGGTATATTTGATTTAGCCCATGTTTAGTACTCATTTCTCTTATCAATTATACATTGTTTAATAAAATAATATTACAAGTAATTTAAAAAAAAAATTAATCACATATTTTAAAAAAATATTAATCCGACCATTAAAATTTCAAATAATAGAAAATAATAGAGGCCAAACGGGAGCTTATACTAATGGCATCGCTAGATCTTAACAAACATGTTCGAACTCAATAATTTTAGTTAAGACTTATCATCCCTGCTAACTGGTCGGTCCTAGTTGTCTGACTCGTCCCTTTCATCTTATGTGGGTAAGCTCACTCAGTTTGATGTGACGAGTGCAATAAAGGTGAATAGTAATTTGGTTCCAATAAAATTACTTTATAGTCCCCGACTAGATCACTCATTAAGTTAATTGATATGAATTTGCAAATATTAATAGTTTTCCTACTTGAAACAAAAAAAAAAAAATTACCCAACAATTTATACTCTACAAATTTTCTTTAAAAAACATGATGAATAAATTTCCACCATATTTTCTTGTAAATACACAACATTTTAGTTGCATCAGGTGTCCCTAACTTCTATTAGTTATTCGGTTATGTTTTTAACATTTTTCACACATTATTATACGGATGAAAACCGGGGCAGGGGATACCCGACGTAACGGGGATGTGAAACATGGTCTCCATCCCATTTAATTTTTTTAAAAAATAAAAAATCAACAACAAAATTTCGAACATTGCAACATATTCATAAATAAATAAATGGAGATTGGACGGGAAAATCCTCAACGGATTGGGGACAAAATAGGGCCTATGTCCCAAACCCGTCCTTTGCCGTTCCTATTATATTCTTATCATTAGTTTTTCATTAATTAACAAATTACGTCCTTAATGGTGATTTTCATCTAAAAATTCTGTTAATTTGCTTTAAAATGAGTGTCGAATATTAAATCATAATTTTATTTTTTGCTTATTAAAAATGCCAATAATAAATAAGTCTTCTGACTTCCTTTTAACTAATTTTTTTAATAGGAACTATCGCCATGGTCGAGATTTGCTCATTAACGAAAGATTGAGATAAATGCGGTAAACAATTAGGAACATGAATGCGACAACACTCAAAGATTATGAATCTTTCAGGTAATTAAAATGTGGTACGGATATATTTAGAAGTTAGAATTTAGAACTAACCAATAAATTTAGAACCTTTCTATTTTGCTCTAATTTTGCATATGTGTAAAAAACCATTTAGTTCTTTAGAAATGATATATCATTTCCCTTAATGGAGGATGCTTATTTACACATATGCAAAATGCTTTTATTTTAAAAAGTTAGCTCTTAAGTTCTAACAAACTCTTTAGTTATATTTAAAAATAGATAGTGTTTTTGTTTCTATGCATTATGAGTCATACCCTCTCTCGGCCTATTTTAGGTTAATGCTATGTGCAAGCACAACTTTATAACACGACTGTCTACATTGTGGTGAGATCGGCACCGCATTTTCCAACATAAGCTGTAATTCATAGGAGCATCTCCAGTGTATTTCATCAACGATAAAATTTGACATCTTTTATCGTGGGGTCAAAATTTAAGTTACAAATATATTTTCCCGAGCATCTTTTTCTCTTGAACAAT